GGGGGGGTTGGGGGAGGGGTGTAAATGGGGGCGTGGCCCTTTAAGTGGGGCCGGTGGGCGGGGGCGCTCTAAAAAGGGGCGTGGTCCCGAGGCGTTAGTGGTGGGCGGGGTTAACGTGAGTGACAGCAAAGGGGGCGGGGCTCCACGCAAGGGGCCAGCCCTCAGGAGCCGATTGGGTGGGGCAGGGTGAGAGGGCGTGGCCTCGCGAAGGGGGCGGGGCTTCAAAGGGCCGCACCCAGGTGGGGCCCGACGCCAGCGCCTTAAAGGGGCCACACATTGAGGAGCCGCCGCTCCCCCCTCCAGTGGGCCACGCCCGGCCTGGCCCCTTTAAGGGGGGAGTGGTCCCTACTGGAGGCGCCTTAAAAGGGCAACGCGCCTTAAAGGGGCGGCACCTCCATTAAAAAGCACGTGGCCGCTTTGAGACTCTTAAAGCGGCGCCCGGTGGGGCCCACCCAGAGTGGCCAAAAGGAGGGCGGGGGGGTCCCCAAAACAGGGGGAGGGTCCCCAAAATCCCCCCTCAGGGCTCGTCCTCCATGCTGAGGCTGCTGCGGGGGCTGGAGGCTCGCGAAGGCCCCGGCGAGGCCAGGAGGGCTCCGGGGGGGCCCAGCGGGGAGAGCCCCCCACCCTCGTCCATCAGGATGTCCTCGAACCCCCCCTCGGGACCCCCCAGGGGCAGCCCCAGCCCCAGTGGAAGCTCCAGCAGGGCCGGGGGGACGGGGGGACCCCCAGGAGGGAATTGGGGACCCCCCGGAACCTCCTCGGACCCCCCCTCAGCCATGGGGGGGCTCAGGGGGAGCCCGTGGATTTGGGCCTGGAGCTCCAGTTCCTGCAAGGGGAGATTTTGGGGAGGGGGGGATTCGGTGATCCCGAATATTCCCAGCTCGCTGTTCCCTCCTGGGTTCTGCTCCCCAAAGGGATCCCAAAACCCGGCCCCGAGCCAAAACATTCCGGAAAATTCCGCTCAGCTGCCCCCAGGGGGTCTCCCAGGTCCTCTGGACCCGCTCGTGCAGCCCCATTCCCGATCCCACTCCCGATCCCAGTCCCATTCCCACGTTCCCGTTCCCAATCCCAAATTCCCGATCCCAAATCCCCCGTCCCAAATTCCCGACCCCAATCCCAAATTCTTAATCCCAAATCAATCCCCAATCCCAAATTCCCGGACCTGCAGCCTCATCCTGAGCCCTCGGTTCGCCTGTTCCAGCCGCTGCTGTTGCAGCTCCAGCTCCCGCGCTCGCTGCGTTTCCTTCTGCAGTTTCCGGATGTAATCCACCGACGCCTTCAGGATGGTGCCCTTGTTCCAGCGCATTTCCCTGCCAGGACCCGGCGTCACCGGGAAATCCCGCCCGGAAAATCCCACCGGGAAAAACCCCCCGGAAAATTCCACCCGGAAATCCTACCCGGAAAATTCCTGGCTCCTGCGGGACCTTCCAGGACCTTCCATGGGAAAATTTCCCTTCCAGGACCTGCCCTGGGAGTCCCTGACTGCCCAATTCCCCTTCCAGGACCTCCCAAAGGGAGAATTTCCCTTCCAGGACCCATCTTGGGAGTCCCTGAGTGCCCAATTTCCCTTCCAGGACCTGCCCTGGGTGCCCGGGATGCTCCCATGGTCCCTTCCAGGACCTTCCATGAGGAAAATTTCCTTTCCAGGACCTGCCCTGGGGGTCCCTGACTCCCCAGTTCCCCTTCCAGGACCCCACCGAGGGTCCCAGCGCCCCCCGGGCCCCTCCCCCACTCACGGGTCGCTGGATTTGGGGATCAGGGTCCCCAGTTCCTTGATCCGATCGTTGATGTTGAAGCGCCGGCGCCGCTCGACTGCGGGAGGGGGAGATGTGAGACCCTCGGGGACCCCCCTGGGACCCCCCAAATCCCCCCCAGGACCCCCCAAATCTCCCTCAGGACCCCACAAATCTCCCTCAGGACCCCACAAATCCCCCTGGGACCCCCCAAATCTCCCTCAGGACCCCCCAAATCCCCCTGGGACACCACAAATCCCCCTCGTACCCCCCAAATCTTCCTCAGGACCCCAGAAATCCCCCTGGGATCCCCCCAAATCTCCCAAGAATCCTCTAGGACCCCCCTAAAACCTCCCAGGACTCCCCCAGGACCCCTCCCCAAGTCCCTGGGGACCTCCAGGACCACCCAAATCCCTACCAGGACCCCCTGGGAGCCCCCAGGACACCCCCAGACCTCTCCAGGAACCCACAGGACCCCCAGGGACCCCCCCCAGGACGCCCCCAGACCCCCGGCTCACTGAGGTTGTGGTTGTCTTTCTTCTGCCGCTCCTTCAGCAGCGCCTTGGCCTCCGTTTCTAGGGGAGGGGGCGGAGTCAGAGACCCCTGCCCACCCCAGGGACCCCTCCCCACAATGGAGACCCCCCCCCAGGGACCCCTCCCCACCCCAAATCCTCCCCAGGGACCCCTTGACACCCCAGGGGACCCCTACCCACCATAGAGACCCCCACAAATCCCCCCTAGGGACCCCTCCCCACCCCAAGGACCCCCCTCAGGGACCCCTCCCCACCTCAGGGACCCCCCCAGCCCCCCCGTACCGGAGATCTCGGCCTTGACCCGGGGCAGCTCGGCCGGGCAGGAGCTGCTCCCGCCCTGGGGGGGGCTGAAAACCTCCAGGAGGGGCCCTGGGGCCGGGAGCTGCCAAAAGGGGCGGGGTCAGAGCGGCCACGCCCACCCAGACCACGCCCAGACACACCCAGGGCCGCGCCCAGCCACACCCGCCTTGACAAACCCTGATGAGACACGTGTCGGCCACGCCCTCTTTAGGCCACACCCCTTTGTGCCCTTATACGGCAACAGAACCGCAGAATTTGCCTTTTCTGAGAAAGCCACGCCCCCACTCCCTTATATGGCAGCAAGCCATGCCCTGTTTTCATAAACCACGCCCACATGCCCTTATATGGTAACAAACCACGCCCACAGCCTTATATGGAAACAGCACCCTGCTCTATAAAGAAAAAGCCACGCCCACACCCTTCTATGTGACAAGCCACGCCCATATGCCCTTATATGGGAAAGCCACACCCCTAAGGCTGTGGGGGAGGGTGGGCAGGGTTTGCCGAGGCCCCGCCCCCATTTCTTAAAGGGGCAGCGCACCGTGCTGGGGAGGGGGAGGGGCGGCTCGGCGGGGCCAAAGCTCAGCAGGTCCTCGTAGCTGGACTCGAGGCTGATGATCTCATCGATGACGTCATCGATCTGCGCAGGACACGAACACGTCGGTGTCACCCCTCCCCCCCATCCTTATGACATCATCGTCCCACCCACCCCTGCCCCGTGTGACGTCATCACCTCCTCCCGTCGCGCTCCCGTCTCCATTGGTGACGTCACCACCGCGCTTGATGACGTCACCGATCTCTTGCCCCACCCGCACACCTGTGACGTCACGATCGCGCTTTACGACATCATCGCTTGCGCTCCGCTGTGACGTCATTACCGTACTCTGTGATGTCATCGCTTACCTCACTCCTGTGACGCCACTGTCACGCTACGTGACGTCATCGCTTACATCACCCCTACGGCATCACCACCACTTACCACACCCCTATGACGTCACCACCACGCTCTGACGCCTTCCCCTGTGACGTCACCGCCTCCCCCCTCAGCCCCTCCCCCCCCCTCACCTCCTTCTCGTGCTGCAGGGGGGCCGGGGGGGGGCTGGGCGGGGCCTCGGGGGGGGCGGGGCTGTCCCCTCCCCCCCGGCCGCGGGCGTGGCTCAGGTACTGCCGCAGCTGCTGCCGCTGCGCCGCGCGCAGGTGGTACCGGGTGGGGTTCTCCAGGTGAGTCTGAACCTGCGGGGGGAGCGCCGGGAGCTGCCCCAAAACTGCCCCGAATAGCCCCAAAATACACCCGAAATACAGCCAAAAAACCCTGAAATAACAGCCTGAAATACACCCGAAATACACCCAAATAACCCCAAAATAACAGCCTGAAAGACACCCAAAATACACCCAAAATACACCCAAATACCCCCGAAATAACAGCCTGAAACACACCCAAAATACACCCAAAATACACCCAAATAACCCCATAACAGCCTGAAACACACCCAAAATACACCCAAGATACACCCAAATAATCCTGAAATAACAGCCTGAAACACACCCAAAATACACCCAAAATACACCCAAATAACCCTGAAATAACAGCCTGAAATACACCCAAAATACACCCAAAACACACCCAAATAACCCCGAAATAACAGCCTGAAAGACACCCAAATAGCCCTGAAATACACCCAAAATACACCCAAATAATACCCCAAAACAGCCCAAAATACACAAAAATACCCAAAAAATTACTGCCCAAATACCTCAAAATCACTCCCCCAAATATCCCCAAAAATTCCCAAATATCCTGAACCTCCCCAGATCCCCCCAGATCCCCCTGGCCCCCAAATCCCCTGTCCCAAAATCCCAAATTTCCACCCCAAATCCCAAATTTTCCCTCCAAAATCCCAAATTTCCACCCCAAATCCCAAATTTTCCCTCCAAAATCTCAAATTTCCCCCCCACCCCTTTTCCCCCTCACCTTGAGCACCTCGGGGGGCACCCGGGGGGGGTCGCGGGGGCCCGGGGGGAGCCCCACGGCGATGGCGGGGGAGGGGCCGGGGGGTCCCGGGGGGGTCCCGGGGGTGCCCCCCCCCCTCTCCCTGCGCTCCTGTTCCTGCACCT